TCACAAAGGTGTAAATATTTATCGTATCTGGTGTCGAGGTTAAGAAAGTCCTCTGCTTGTGTGTGACTTTAGAATGTGGTGTTTCACCATTAGCACTATCGAGTGTAGAAGCCACTCACAGGACCTGCTAGTTTACACCGACCGTGAGTGTTTCGTGTCGCGGCATACCGTGGTGAAGGTGCACTTAAGGAGATGTTGCAAGACCTCTATTGTCTAAAGCATGAACTGTCTTCGCTCGCTCGGAATACTGGTTCGTGGGTTCGAATCCCGAATAAGGCATGGATGTTTGGCGTGTGTATGCGTTTATTCTCTGTTTGTGTTGTCCTTTGTATAGGTAGAGGCCTTGTGACGGCTGATCACCCGTCCAAGGAGTCCTACCATCTGTAACAATGATAATGAACCCGAGAAATCAGCCCTATGCTCCACAGTGGGAGCGAAAGGAAAAAAAAAAGTCTAACAACCGCAGGTGCATTTTCCTGAACACCCACAATATGTTCAGTTATGAGATTTGGCACACATGTTTATAGTTCTCTGTAGTTACTCAAATTCTTTAGCCTACTCTCCTTATTTTGAAAAAGTAAAAGAAGGCTGTCGTCATCTATGAGCCGATTGTCTAGAAAATGTGGGAACCTCAACATCTCACAGCCCTATGGGTCTCCACGGCCTGTTACTGGATAACTTTACTTTACTTTTTTACTTCTTAGGCTTATGAGATTACCTTGCTATCTCTGCATCTGTGTGTCTGTATGTGTATCTCCCCCGGAACAACTTCTGAACGCCTGAAATAATCTTTATGAAACTTGGTGTGTACATCATGGCACCTGAGCCCATCTCTACGGCGCACTTCAATTATCTCTTCAAATCAATAATACCAACATTACAGCCTCTCAAATTGTTGAGAGAAACCTTAATGTTAGTAGAACGCCTGTACTAACCTTCATGAAACTTGGTAGGCCACATGAAACAACCTCAGCAGAGTGTTTCATGAATCCCTCCCATCAGTAATATTAGCACAGCAGATCTCAAGTGGTTTTGGTAAAACCTTAGAATTACTTGAACGCCTGAATCAATCTTCATGAAACTTGGTAGGTGTATCATGCTACTAGAGTCCAACTCAATAACCCTATTCATAAAACCCTCTCATCAGTAATGCCAACATTACAGCTTCTCATATTGTTGAGGTAATACTTTCAATATTACAAGAGTGCCTATACTGATCATCATGAAACTTGATATGAATATCACGATACCTGAGGCCAAACGGCGTATTTAATTATTTACTTCTCCTTAATCAATAGTGCCAACACTACAGCCTCTAAAATTGCATCAAGCACTCAATTTGTAATGAAAGAAAAGTAGGCCAATAGTTCTTCCCAGAACTTCGTGTTTAACTTCGATTTAATGTAACATGTTAATAATTATTTTATTTAAGTCACCTCTTAAAAATAAGCGATCTTTAAAAGAAAAATATTAAAATATGTTAAATGAATCACTCTCAAAGAAAAAGTCAGCGGATCCAAAGGACACCCTAATATGTGATGTTCCGTGGTTTTCTCAATCTCTCCATATAAATTTCGGGAAGTTACCTCACACTAGGCCACGAGCCCCCTTCCACACGCTTTCCAATCCGTCATTTGCTAGTCTTCCTAATATCCGACGCCACATCGAGAGCGTCGTGAAATAAATAACATTTTAAACATTGGCTGACTGCAGAAAAATGTGAAACTCGGTCTCTGACGTCAAGGGAAGAGCATAGACTCAGGGTATTTGAGAAAATAGTGCTGAGGAGAATATTTGACCCAAGAGGAATAAAATAAGAGGAGGTCGGAGAAAACTGTATAACGAGGAGCTTCACAAATCGTACTCTTCGCCAAATTAGAATGATTAAGTCAAGGAGAAAGAAATGGGTAGGACATGGAGCGCGCACGCGGCAGGAAGTGTCTTCGTGGGAAAGCCGGAAGGGAAGATACCACTAGGACGACTTAAACGGAGATGAGAGAATTAAATTAAAAGCGCTCTCAGAGAAAAGTGACGGGGTGGTACGGAATGGATTAATCTGGCTCAGGATAGGGACCAGTGGAGGGATTTGTGAACAAGGTAACGATCCTTAGGATAATTTTTGTAAATTTTGAGTAGCTGAAAAATTGGTGGTTCCTCAAGAAAAACTGAGCTCCATGGAGTTAGTTAGTTAGGGCCGCGCCATAGCTCAAGCGATTAGTGGCTGGCTTCCCACCGCGGCGGCCCGAGTTCAAGCACAGATCTGGTCAAGTGGGATTTGTGGGGGACAAAGTGGCGCTGGGGCAGGTTTTCTCCGAGTACTTCGGTTTCCCTTGCCAATCTTCATTCCAACAATTGCTCCACAATCACCCTCACCTATCATCTGGGGCTGGTAAAATAGGCCAGAAGTGGCCGCAGTACAAGGAACTTAGTCCCACCCCACTAGTAATAAAAAAAGGAGTATGTCTAAATAAAAGGGGTGGTAAAATGTAAAGTACACCTAAAACTGTCTTAAGTAGATGCACTTTAAATGCCGATCCAAGAGACCGCGCCATCTAAGGCGCATGCGTATTTGACCGTTCGAACATTAGGCAACAGTGCTATATGTTTACGGTTCATTGCTATATGTCCATTAACAGAAAGCGACATTGGCTTTGCAGGCCGTATAAAGGTGCAGAAAAAAAATTGTTTTGTTTTCGCTGTTTACTTTTTTTCCCTAGGTGGGGTGAGACTGGGCCTAATAGGTACGTCGGTCACTACTGGCCTATAGTACCAGCCCCGGATGATAGATGATGATGAATGTGAAGCAGTCGGTGGAATGATTAATTGGCAGGGGAAACCGAAGTACTCGGAGAAAACCTGTCTCAGCGCCACTTTGTCCAGCATAAAACCTACATGAATCGATCTGGGATCGAATCCGGGCCGCCGCGGTGGGAAGCCATCAACTAACCGCCTGAGTTATGGCGCGACCATTTTTTTCAGTGTTCCTTTCACCTCAGTTTCTCACAACTGAAATTTAAAATTAAATTTTGAAATTCTTAGTTAACTAACACATAGCCTACCGTAGATATTTTATGGATTTTCTATTTATTATTTAACTATCGATTCACGTATTATATGGGGAATGGGATTTGTGGTTCTTACAGGGGTGACTATAAAATGTTTTATCTTCTGTCATATAACGCCGTGAAGTCCAGTGGAAGTCAACCGACGTTTTGTGAGAACGTATCACCTACATCACCAAGGTCGAAAAAACCCAAGCAAGAAAACAGCATGAAGCAAACGAGAAAATGAGCAATGAAGATGGAGGCGATATATGTCCCCGAAACGTCAGTTGACTCTCATTGGACTATACGACGTATATCCCAGAAGATATAACTCTTCATGCAGACAGAAACTAACTTCTATTACAAAAAAAAAACCCGGTAACTGATCTGTTACAAAATTAATAATAAATAACATTTTAAATCAGATAATTTTGTACAAAATCGTTTCCACTTTGGAAAACTCTCCATGGAGCGACAGCTTTGCTTTTGAATAGAACCTGACATCTATCGCAAAAACTGGTAAATGATAAGTTACAAAATTCGTAATAAATAACAATTTAAATATGGAAAGCTTGGTACAGAATCCTCTCCAGTTTAGGAACATAGCCAGGGAGCGACAGCTTTGCCGAAACAAAAACGAGTTGTGGCCTTAAGAGAAGAAGCAGAATCTAAGTGACCTGGCCACTCAGTACAAACACTGCAAGTCTGATTCGTATTAAGGATGCGCCTATTTCGAAACTGGACTCAGGCGTTTCGTGGTTTCTCCCAATCTGTCCAAACCATTGCCCAAATATCACCTGAAATTAAATCACGACCACTTCTTAACGCATTATGTCCAATTCACTATTCACTAATCATTCGATACTGTATAATCTAGTATGTACTGTACCGAGTTTAAACATGGTATGCAAGAGAAAGAAAGGTCTATGTACTTCTGCCGTTTTTGTATTGTACAGTAAAGTAGCCAATGGCTGCGCTTGAGAATTGTTTGCCTAATTTGCTCATAGAGTCTCGTTAAATGGCAACAGGCTAAGAAGACAGGACGACATTTTTTACAACTGAAAATAAATGGTCTTATAAAGATACATGTATCCTTGTGCAGTGAAGACGTATGGGAGAGTGGAGGTATAGCTCCATGTAATTTTACTAAATGCCGTGTTCGAGTGGTTAGCATCCCTGCTTCGTATTAGGGAGGCCACGACAACTTCATTCCACATCCATGCTATCATTCAACGCTATGTAGCCTGAACTTCTGACAGCATCGTTAAATGAACCACAAATAAATAAACAAATAAAAAATCCAGACATACTTAACTTCTGTACTAGAGGGTTGTTAGGGGGAACAGCCTCCCGGTACTCATTGGATACAAGGCTGGGTGGACCCCAGAACCGATCTCGAAGTTGTGAATTTCTTGCCCCTCTGGAAATCCAACCCCGATTATCCGGTCGTCTATTCCGTAGTCTAGTCATGTACCTACTGAGCTAACCCGGCCCAAGCTGAACAGTACTGCAGATTTTTACTGATTTCTCATCAAAAGAATTTAGGAGCAATTAAAAAATTAATCGACTCTTAGAAACACGTATTGCAGAAATGATGTAAAGAAAGTAATTATCCTGTTCGCCCGTTCGTGTCCTGACTGTGCCGTTTGCACCAAGTTATCAGCGTCAGCTCGCAATTTAAGATAGGTGAATGAACTTCTTAACTTTACAGCCGAGAGTGTGACCTCTCTCTGTTGAAATGGACACATTTTCCTGACCCTGTCCTCTACAAAAGCAGAGGGGCAAGTTCTGTTCAGATACGAACTCTTCTACCCCGTATATGAAGCATTGATCACCAGCCTGCCTCTCTCTCTCTCCCCGCAGCAAGACGAGGACGCAGAAGATGATGAGAGGCTACTTTCTGAAACAGAGTTCCACTTTTTCTTTCGTCTTCTATCTCTTTCTGTCTCACGAAGAGGAAGAAGTCCAGCAGCAAAGCCCCTCTCTCTTCTTCGCTCGCAGGGAACAAGACTTCACTCAATACGCAGCAGCTACATACGTTTCCCTCAACCAGACTCTGATTCTGACGTCACTTCACTGTGAATTTGGATATAAAAGAGCGTTGTTGAGTGTTGGAAAGGCATCAGTAAGCGTGACAAGCTCTCGCATTAGCGTCCGTCTGGGAGCTAACCCACTCATCATGAACACCTTGGCACTGGTAAGGAACACAGTTACTCGCTGCGGCATTTTCAAGTTCGTTTCCGTTGGTTCAAGTGGTTACAAGATCGACTTCGGTGCTTCTGCAAATTCTGTGATTAAATCAGAAATGCGTTTCTGGTATCAGTTGTTATGTTTAGTCAATTCGTGAAAGCTGTAGCAGCTTGGCACTTAGGATGGCGGCTCCCGCGACAAGCAAGACAGGGGCTAAGTTGCGGCAATAAGCATTATAACAATGGGCAAGTCAACTTACATATGAACTGAATTGAAATTGAGGCAGCAAGAAAAGTCAGTGAAGAGAAGTGAAATAAGCAACTGGATTGTACATTAGATAGTGTTCTTATATGAAATTTGTGATTCCTAATCTGAAACGTTACTAAGGTGTTCTCTACACTGAGAACGTCCCGAGTGTCACTGTACAGAAAAGAATATTATTTACAGGCTGAAAGTATTTAATAAAAATTATGTAAATATTAGAGTGGCCAATCTGTTATATCGGTCTAGTTAGAAATAAGTTTAAACGTCGAAGCTTACGGAGTCTATTGGCTACTATTGTAGGCTCTGTATAGAATACAGTGTCTACGATTTTGCTTCGTGGAATAAATGGGAGTTTAATTAACCTTTAGAATCGTAAAACTCATCTAAATGTCATTTAAAATCTAGGCCCTGCCTCTCAATAAACACATTCCATATGTGTTAGAATGATGCACAGGAGCTTAATCGCTGTTCACTCTGCTTTAGTCATATCAAAAATGTACACGCTTTAGGTCAAAATGCTCTTTTATGATAAAGCGGATGGTAAGCATAGTATCCATTTTGTTTGAAGACTAAAGGGCTGACAGACGTTTCACTTTATCCGCATCTTGCTCCTGCGTGTATGTTACTCTCTTCACCACTTCTTCCTTGCTACACTGTCTTACACGACAGGTTCTTTGTCCCGTAGCTCCAGCTTTCCCGGAGAACTCTGAATTGATTCCTAAATATAGCTCGCCTTGTTGCAGTGCCTGGCGGCGTCCCTGGTTGGGATCATCTCCGCCGAGCCTCCCAGTGGCTACAACTACAACAGACCGTCTAGTTACTCCGGCAGTGGTGGTGGAGGCGGCGGCGGCGGCGGCGGTGGCTATGCTAGCAGTAGTAGTTTCGGCGTTGGAAGTTTCGGCGGCGGAGGCAACCTCATCTCCGTAAGTCCTGGTCCTTCTAGCAATGAAGGGCAGTATGTTGAACCTCAACTTCTGGAGAAGATCCGTCAACTCCTTCTTCAGGAAGAATCTAGCGCCTCCGCTCAGGGAGGTGGCGGTGGAGGTGGTGGCTATCCGTCATCCCAGTACGGAGCGCCATCAAGCCAATACGGGGCCCCATCATACCAGGCACGCGTCGTAGGAGTCGATCTCGAAGGAGTCCGCCAAGCTATCCAGGTTGCCCAGTATCAACAGACCAGCGTCGGTGCTGGTGGCGGTGGTGGTTACCCCTCAGGGCCATCCTCCTCTTATGGAGCTCCCTCGGCAAGTTTTTCGGTCTCATCTCGCCCCTCTGGCTCTTATGGTGCTCCCTTCTAAGTGAACCCATGATTACAACACCGTTCGCTCCCTCTCAGACACTTGATCAGCCAGCAGAACACCACTTGAGAGGAGGAACCGTGAGAAGGTTGCTGACACAACCATGACGCAAACCCAGCACGCATACCAACTTTGGCGTCGACGCCACGACTCTGGACTGTCCAGCACTGGCAAATGTCGGGGTGCCAGGGCGCAGTTCATTCCAGCTGAGCGAGGTGCAACTTTCTGCAGTGAACGTAAATTTTATCGAATCAAACGGGTCTCTAAGAAGAACGGACAATGCGAGGATTTCTTTGTATGGTTCAGTTCACATGTTTAATCATACACCACACATTAGAGATCTCCAATAGTACAGTATCTTTTGTATGTATTGTTGGATGCGCGGTTTTTTTATATTTGTATAAAGCTTTTTATAGAAAAAATCTAGAAAAATAAAGAAAAAATACATTTCGCCACCGTAAAATATAGGCTTACTTTTAATACCTTAACAAATCCTTTTATACTTCCAATATAAACCTAATATCCAATATATCTCTAGTGAGACATCAGGAGAAAACTAGGTATGGACAGCGATTCAACGAAGCTCAATATTAGAAAGGAGATTTCCCTTTCATTTTTCGCCCTCTGACCTACTAAAGTTAGATTTCATGTTGCTGCCTTCCATGGTGGCAAATTATACAGCACAACTTGCAAAGAAACTTGTGAAATACATCCCCACTTACAACCATCTTAAATTGGCATTAAGCATAGGCCACACCTTGGAGTTCTTCACTTTATAATTCGTAGGTCATTTCATTAAAAGGCAAAGTACTGCTGTTTGCATCCCTCCCAGAAAATGTTGCTGGGATTGTTAAGATAAACGCCTACAGGTTCAGGTTTCTTTATGTTAGGGACGGAAGGGGGAAGGGTCAGTATAGTGAAAGTGCTTCATAATGAGCATCTAAACTACCTGATGATAGAAAATACATCTGACGTGCCCCATGACAGAATCAAGAAGAGAGAGAGAGGGAGATGTGTGTTGCGTCAAAGCAAGGCGGATGCCCGCAGCAAGTAGGCTAATGACCATACGTATTCTCCTACAAGCTGGACGTCACCCGAGTGACCAACGAGGTTCTCATAGCATTTCAGTAGCGAAGATCTTTTTCACTTTCTCCTAACAACTGATGAATACAAGAAAGCGGCATAAGTACAAAGGTAAATCCACGTAAACTTATGCCGGATTTTATTTGCCAATTTTATGACCCATCGATGCCTCCAACTTAACAACTCCTTTGTTAGATTGAGGAAATTGGTCATTACGGTATCTTCTGATGTGCCTGTTGGAACAATTCCACCAGATTTTGCAGAACTTCTCTCGAAGCTTTTATAATAACACAACAAGGGTAATAATGTTGTTAAGCATCTTGTTGCATTAATGTAGATACTAGTATATATACATTAACGTCTCAATGCTACTCTTATTTCTGTCTTTAATATTTATCCTATCTTACTACTGGGGCACTCGACAGCGTAGTTGGTTGAGTGGCTATGCCACAATCCAGAAGATCGCGGGTTCGATTTCCGATGAGGTCACTGGATTTTCAATTGACCTATCCCTTTCAGCCACACTATGGCCCTGGAGTCCACTCAGCCTCTAACAGAAATGAGTACCAGGAACCTTCCAGAGGGGTAAAGAGCGGCCGGCGCGTGAGGCTGACAACCTCACCGCCATCTGTGAGCCGATTTTCTAGAAAATGTGGGGAACTCGACGTCTCACAACCCTATGGGCCACCATGGTGTGGTACAGGAATAGCTTCTTATCTGTCTTACTACTAATGATATATTTCGCCCGTATAAGGCCATTATCAAGTACGATCGTATCGTATCGTATCGTATCGTATCGTATATGTTTTCCTGCTAAAATGATTCACTGCACGTCAAATTTCATATTGTATGTTAACGCGATGTTAATTTAAAACAACTGCTTGTTCTTAGCCATTAAAATTTAATTAAATATTTGTTAAAATGTGGAATCCGTTTCGCTGAATTCAGTCATCTCGACTTGGGTACTCGTATGAGGTTACATTCTATCGAAACATATCGTGGTGATAATACAGGACAAATACTTAACACAGAAATAAATTTTGCATGAAGAAGGTACTATATATATACTAGTATTTACAATAAGCGTAAACTCAGAACAAACTGCTCACGCCTCACAAAGAAAAGCAATTTAATTTCTATTCCATTATGCGAAATTGTTCCCATCTGTTTCTATAGATTTATATATTTCTTGATTTGCAATTTTCAATCCACCTCAGCGCAATAATACAGCAAATTTCAACGAATTAATCGCCATTAATCACTTCCCATCCAGTAACAGAGCTGCTGAGTCTCTCCTAGTGCGAGTTCATCCATAGTTTCAGGCAGTCTAAATTATGAATTCATTAGCTTCGGAAATTATTACTATTATAGAATATTGATAATTTCAATTTGACTGTGTATAATCATGTACGTAAATGTTGTCTATGTTACTGAGAGTAATTTCAGTTGGATGACTTTAGTATAATTGATAATGTCTAAATACTAATTTCATTATTAATGAATTGTCACAAACTGCGAGACTATCTTGTAACATCAATATACTTCTGCAGTTTGAAAGTAACAACTATAATTAATAGTCGAATTTGATACTTATTTCATCTCCGGTTGCAATTTTGTTCATACACATACGTTCAGACACGTGAAACCAGTGGGAAAAACTGATAATATTTTTTTTAATTCGCTTAGTGAGGGGGGGTGGAGTCCAACTGGGTCCACTCGGCACGGCGGCCAGTGATTGGCCTATTGTAGCCTGCCCCGGGTGATTATGATGATGGAGAATTTGGTAGAATGAAAATGGTCAGGGGAAACCGAAGTACTCGGAGGAAACCCGCCCCAGCTCCACTTTGTCCACCACAAATCCCACTTGACCAGACCCGGGATCGAACCCGGATCTCCGCGGTAGGAAGCCAGCGACTAACCGCTTGAGCTATGGCGCAGCTTAAAACTGATAATAAGTCCTTAATGTGTTATAAATATTGCAACATGTATACTCATTGTTAGGCAACGACTCTCTAAACACATTCCTGCAAACACATGCGCATGAGATAATAGGACATCCATTGCTAGGTAACGGACAAGTAAACACGCGTCCTTACCAATATAAGACGGTGTTTTCAGTGGAGTCTGTGCCGACAGGTTACAAAAGGGCACAGTTAGAAGACGCGAAGACAGACTAGAAATCGGAAGAGAACTGGGTTGGGTTCTGGAGATGCCAGTCGAAGGTGACTGAGAAGAAATGGAAAAAAAGGAATTAGACTGTGCCAAAAAGACTTCATGTGTGAGTTGAAGTTACAGTGAGACTGTAATAAATCCGTTGCCTGAATACGACTAGTGAAGACTGAGAACCCTAGTGCGTGTGTAACGGTGAACTGGACAGTGCGTAGAATAGCGATAGAGCTGTATTGCCTGTAGTCCCACATTGTGTGAATGTATAAGGTGCAGTAAATCCAATCATCCAATCCAAAATCACCCCCACACGTGGAAGTATCATGCCGCAAATACAAATTCATTCTTTTGAGTGAATTACTAGCACTGCAGGTCTCATATCATGGATGTCAAACAAAATGAGATCTTTTGTTTCCATCACAGGTAAAAGAAATAATCTTCAAGAAAAGAAATTTGGGCCTACAGAACGGCAAGACGTACATGTACGCAAAATTTAACTAAGAATTCCATTATGATATTTGAGAATTATTCAATGTTTCAAATTGTGATTATTTCTCACAATTTAAAATTATGGTAACTCATACAACATTCATAAAGCCGTATAGCATTTTTGGATCTGAGGCTGGATGTCATTGGTTTCGAAGATAAAATTGAAGCCGTCCGTGCCATAAAGACATACGGGGAAGTGGAGGTAAACCTCCTTATATTCTTTTCCTCAACACTTGATGGAAATGAATGGTCAGCTTCACGCCCCGACCGCTTTTTCCCCGGGAAAAAATCCTCCAGTACATATTGAACAGGTGGCTGTGTGGACCCCAGAACCGATCTGATTTATTTATTTATTATATATTTAATGGCTTATCAGTAGTTCAGATTGCACAGCGTCCAACAGTAAGATGATAACTGAATTATAAATTGTAAAATATATGGAAGGAAGAGTCGTGGCCTATTTCAAGGTACCATACTGTATCCGCCTGAATAGGCTGACTAAAACAGCGCAACACCTCAGGAATCTATGTGCCAGCCTAGGTTCGAACCGAGCAATTTTTGTATGCAACTTAGAAACGTTACAGACTGAGCCATCTTGCTCCGTGAGCCGGTCTGGACGCGGTGTTTCGAAGCTTCATACAACACCTCTTAAATCACTTCTGCTCTGAACTGTTACGTCAAGAACTGGCCATGGCTGCTGTAACTGGGCGCAGTGATTGCAGCTCGTACTGTGAGGATGACGGCGTGATTGCGGTGAAAATCAGAGTTACGACAGTGAGGCCTGAGGTTCTAACAGCAAGGACTGCTCGCATAAAGACTGCTGTCTTCTTGGGTGTGATGCACTGTAGTTCCGTAGATAAACACCAGTATTTTTGAGAAGCCTTCCTGTTCCATCTTCGTGGTACAAGAAAAACATGTCTACATTTAAGATAGACAGCAGGTTCCCCGAAACGACGGGACCTATTTACCAAATTACACGGCGCTATATACCAGAAAACTGTAATGTATATACCAGGTAGTTTACCATATTTCCGATGTTTAATGTGCGGTAGCTATAGAATTTTCGATTTTTATTTTGAATTTGAAAAAAATATTTAGGAAGAAAGTAAAAACAGAACTTGATCAAAGTGATTGACGATAGGCGGGCGTTAATATGTACTTATAAAAAAACTCCGTGGCTTTAGTCCGCAAGCGAACTATACCGACCGAGCAGCCCCCGCTTGTCGGCGAAGTTAGAGCCAACTTTAGCGGATAGAGGGTGTCGCGTGGTCAGCGCAATGAATCCCCACGGCCGTTAATTTTGGTTTTCTAGACCGGAGACGCTATATCCTTGAAATAGCTCCTCAATTATCCTCACGAGGCTGAGTGAACCCCGTTCCAAACCCATTACTTCTAAGAAAACCTGGTAGCGCCTGGAATCGAACCCGGAGCTTCTGGATCTATAGCCAGAAACTCTGACCACTAGACCACAGAGGTGGTTATACTTTTACAGAGGTGTATGTACTTATAACGAACTGGAATTTGCGTTGATGTCATCTAAATTACGACATTATCTTGATATTTTTTAGAGTAACTGAGGGTGACAACACAAAACTTAGAGCAATTAGTCTCTGAAATGAGATTAGAAATGGATCTTCAGGTATAGGAATGAGGACCACTACGCAGTCTCATTACAGTGTCATCTAACCATTTTATCTTTATCATCCATAAGTGGC